AGTCAAGACAAGTTAGAATTATATCAGAAAGTGTATTGTGGAACAAGTACAAGATGGAATAACAATAGTCAGTTAGTTTTGATTCGCATTAAGAGTATGTTTGGTCAGTAAGAACATGAAGTGAAATAATTCAGTGTGATGTATACATAAAGTCAACAGAAGCACAGGTTTCTTCAAGAGTAAATGTAGTCAGTGGTGTGTAAGACAATATAAATACAACAGAGAAATAAACCAACAGGTGGGATAGACTAGACGTAGGTGAGAGGGTGACAAATAACAATAAAAATGATGCTGAAATAATTATGATGGTGTGGTGTAAACATAAAAGTGCTATTAGTGGACTATTATCAGGTAGTAATGATTTTTCATGAGTTGATTTGTAAGGATTTGATATGTTTTTCAATTTTGACCACGGAATGACAATAATCAAATCTTTGCAAATCGCATCTTAAAAATTAATATGATGCTCTCTAGGGACTTGCAACAGAAAGGAATATCTTGGAATTCTAGTGAGAAGTCGTGATCAGTGAGGTCCAGCCTGTCAGGATTGAAGGTGGAGTTCACGCCGATGACATTGGTTGGTGGTCACCCTAAAAATCACGAATTGGTAGAAATGAGAACTCATGGGCCACTGAGTTGGGTCCCAGTGACTGAATGATTTAAGAGCTTGCCCTGCAACCGGAGGGTCCTGGGTTCGAACCTTGGTGGTGGGTGCATACTGATGATGAGTCTTAAACTAAGATAAAATGGCTGTCGAGTACTCCCTGAATTTCAATGGTTCTCTAAATGATATCACTCCATGGTCAAAATCGAAAGAAAATGAATTTAATAAAGTGGAATGAAAAGGAATGTGTAAACGTAATAACCAGTAAATAACTAAGGTAGTAGACATAATAAGAAAGGTCATCAACTCGTAAAAGGTTTGAAATAAAATGTGAACTTGTCATGTCAAGTGCAAAAAAATGGGAAAATGCGATGAATGAAGTGTGGTCAAAAGAATAAAATACAATAAATAAAATGTTGGAATGTGATAATGCAAAGTGGAGCAAAAGGAAACAAAAATGGAACAATAGGGGATGAATCAGAATGATGATGTTTCTGTGAAGTACATGCAATAAGATTAAGACCATGGTAAATAAAGTTCTGGCTTTATGTTATGTTTTATTACCAAAGCTTCCACTATGCAAAGCAAATGCCCTCGTGTTGCTTTCGGGCTTTGTATACCATATTAAACGATTCATCAGATGTTGCGTGGTCATTATCTGCAATATTTTACAATATAGATGAGTTAGTGGCTCTATTCTCTCCTTTGTTCAGCCAAACTGTGAGATGCTCTAGAAAGGGGCGAGGTAGAACTTTCGACGAACATCCTGTGTGTACCTAGTTCTATAACAGCCGATGAACATATAAATACACATAAGACTGGATAGTCTAGGTAACATTTCCTTCACACTGAGGTACTTCAGTAGACGGCTAGGGTAGGTTATTCATAGAGTTGTAGCAAAAAACGTCTTACTTAGTTACCTAGTCAACCAATTTTAAAGGCCTTCACTCACAGCATCACTCCTTAATTCTCAGTTAAGATGCAACACTTTCTTAGCTACCTTGTTGCCTCTTTGTATTTCTTTCATATAACTTACTATTAGCCAAGACGAAACCTAATGGATACCTATTCCCTCTGAAAGTTTCTTTCAGTTGTTTAACTTTATCCTCAACACTGTCTTCACTACAAATTCTTCGGATCTGCATTGTAAAAGAACAGATTAAATTCCTTTTTCTTTCTATTGGAACAAAACTGTAAAAATTGCTTAGTTGTCCCGTCTATATTGATTTTCTGCAAATCGACTCCTTTAGTTAACGAACCATCAGATATCCTTGTGAGTATTAAGTACATCAAGGAAGATATTTTGCTATCATTTTCTTTTTCTAACATAAACTGGCTATCAGGACCCCTGTTATTGAATACTTTCAGTCTGTCTTCCAAATCGCAGTTCTTATCACATTCTTACATCTAATCAATTTGTGACTCCTAATCATTTACAACAATATTATCCGCGTTTAGCATTTCCACTCACTGTCAGACTTTGACGCATATATGTACACACACACAAGAAAGCTAATTGTTATTGTTTATTGTTATTCATCTAGATAAATACGACTTTACCTGTATAAAAATGAAATTGTCGATAAGGGAATTTTCCTCACTGAGATCTTTTTTTCTATGTCTCAGTGGGGATTATTAATTTAATAATCGAAGTATTAAGAACACAATCTTCAGCGCAGGGAGTCATTTCAACGAATTTATTTTCAAGCTTTACAATTGTATATTTATATATGGATTTTTATGAAAATATAGGAAATTTTAACAAAGATGCAAACACATAAAAAAATAATAAAATGAAATGCAATTAAAATGTTTGTGATTATAATCACAGTTAAATATCAAGCGGTAAAACGAATAATGCTATAAATAAGAGAGCTAATAGAATGTACAGATGCTATAAAGGGATGTCGACTTATAGGATAAGCAGGATTATTGGGCAATTAAAGCATTACCAAACATGGTGAGGGTGGGAGCTTCTCTGACCTATCAGTTCAACTGCTCTTGTAAAGAAAAGTACATCAGCCGCAGCCTAGAGAATGAATTTCACAAGAATATAAGAACAAATTCCAACGTGGCTTTATAAGGGAAAAATGGTGGGAGGGGGGGTGAGAAGTTCTAATCTAAAACACTTGACTGCCTTCTGTCACTCTACCAACTCCAACCATGATTTCAAGATCATCTATGGAATTCACGGCAAATTTTCGCGTTTTCTTCGTCCTAAACTTCTAACGACAGAATAGGCCTTTGTCAGTCAGAAATTCAGGTCAAACCTTTGTGTACAAAAGAAGTATGCACAGTCTCTATTTCTATCTTTGCCGTAGAGGGATAAACATTTATTTATTTTTCACTTTGTTTGTTTAGTCAATCTATGTACCTTTCCCTTAGGATCACGATCATTATTATTATAATTCTCTCTCTGAAGAGTTTCCGGTGTCATTTCATTTGTTCCACTTATTATTTCAAATTAATGTGTTTCTGCAACGTTACCTTCCATATCATCAAACTTATCGTAATGTCACGTGATGTTTTAATCGCTTACTAATCCTATTAATTTCATGCTCCTTCCAACATCTATACATTTCAGGAATTATTGTATATATGACATTATTTGTGTAACTACGATTACAATCACAAATATTTTAAAACAAGCAACAGAATTTATTAAAGCAGGATTTAATGAATTCAACAAACTTTGGTAGAACTCTTCAGCTGGATACTCTCCATACAGGGATATATATAAATATACATGCCATTAGAATTATATTGGAATATATGAGACTGAGAAGATGTCAAGAATTTCGAACTAAACAATATTGATAATAATAGTGATGCTAATAATAGTAACAGTAATAACAATAATAATAAATAATCATAGTCTTCAGACGAGTTAAGATAATGGCAATGATAAAAGACAGTTGTAAGTGAATCAGAAATAGTAATAATGTAAAGTAGAATAAAATATTAACACTAATACTAACAGTTAATAAATAAAACATATTACAGTGGTAGATTTAGAGGGACTGCCACTTCCTTCTGTACACAGAGAGCTGACTTATAAACTTTGCAACTGCTAGCATCTTTCTGTTCGTTTGCCTGCTGACATTAGTGGTTGACTTGACAAAGTCATTGTCATGTCCATAGTCCACAAGATGCTTTGTCATTGAACTTTTAGGCAGTTTTACTTCAGCTGTTTTCAACCACTGTATTTCCTCCCACAAACACACCCAAACTGATATAAGCAGTTTGAAGTGTTGAGGATCGGTTACTGATTGTGGCAGCACCTACTTGGCATTGTTAAGGGGGATGAGTTTTGTAACTTGATTAGTTCTCTTGTTGCTTATCCTAAATTCGTATCGGAAAATAAATGTTCCCAAATATTTTATTTGCATTTCATACTACTACTATTATTACTTTAAGTATTCACACCTTTGCTTAAATTTCCTAATGGCATATAATTTCTTAAAAATCATATATACCATGGTATAGCTGGATAATGAATTCGTTGAAAAGAGTCTACTTTTTGTGTTCTGAATGTTGCGGTGGGAATTATTATTCTAACAAGAGATGTTAAAAATACTCATTTAAAAAACATTATAAGTGACTTTGGTTACAGGATTTCATCATAAGCTGATATCAGTTAGAGAACCATTGGAAGACCAATGAGTACTGGACAGCTGTTTCGTCCTGGTGGTTAGGAATCTTCAGCGGTACTCACCCATCACTTAGGTTCGAACCCAGGACCTTCGAGTTACATGGCTAGTGAGCTCAAAGACCATTAAGCCAGTGGGACCCAATTCAGTCGCAAGCCAACGAATTTCAACCTCTGCCAATTCACCACATTGCGCGACCGCTAGCCAATGTCTTCGGCGAGCATTTTTTTTCACACCCGACCTGCTGCCCTCTACTGGCTACGAGTTGCCACTAGAACCCAGGTAACTACCCACCTGAATAGAGCCATTGGATCGAGTCTCAGTGGCTCAATGGTTTATTAGCTTGCCTCGTAACCAGATGGTCCTGGGTCTAAACCTCGCACTGTGGGTGCGCGCTGATGAAGAGTCCTAACCACTAGGAAGAAACAGTTGTCCAGTCCTCGAGTGCTGGTTTTCCAATGGTTCTCTAACCGATGTCAGCTTATAGTGAAATCCTCCAACCAACCAAATGAAATCCCTACAAATCAATACTTAATAACAAATAATAAGTATCAAGTCAGCATACAACATAGAAACGTCAGAACTATGATATGCAGTCTGGGAAAAAAGTGGATAATAATCACAGAGTTAATTGAAACATCCAAATAAACAAAAATATTGTAATTAGATCGTTGCGGAGGAATTTCCTAAACAATTATTTCATCACATATTCTTTATTTTCTACCTTTCCATGTTTTCCCTTTCAGATGGTCGTTGCCAGTGCATATTGTAAATGCATATTATAAAGAGAATTCAAATCATATTTATTTTCCTGCTGGTATACTCCAGAGTCCATTGTATCATCATGAACAACCTTTATCCTTGAATTTCGGTGGAATTGGTATGGTTGTAGGCCATGAAATTACTCATGCCTTCGATCAACATGGTAAGTCTAGTAAAAAAATAAATCATTTTATTACTAGGTTATCGAAAATAATTTTTGGCGGTTTGTTTAAATCACTGCGCTACGTAAATTTTCTTTGCGTCTAAATGCATCGTGTTTCTGTTCCATTTCATATCGGTTTAAACGTACAATTATGTCTAAGAATCGTAAGGTATACTCAGGTACAGTATCAAATAGGCTTCAACCTATTTCAACGAATTTTTTTGACGGAAATAGTGAAGAATTATTGTGGATTATTTGAGCATATCTAGGATAAGGTGATATCGCTTCAGTTCATAGATTATCGTTTATTATATCCCTTGAAGATTCTACACAAGGAGTAAATGCCTCACAATAAGGAAGTTGCTGAGAATTTTGTGTTGTGTGTAAATGTAGCCATTATTATTATTATTAAAAATAACAGAAATTAATCTCCATGTTCAGTGTAGAATGAACTTCAGATGCTGACATCAGCTCTGAAACACATTTTTTAATGAATAGTATGAATTCTAGACAAATGTTAAAATTATAGTTGTAAAAACTCAGCAAAATTGACACAAATAATCCCAACGTGTCATCATCAGGGGAATTAATAAAAAAAAATAACAAAGGTGACACAAATGTGACATATCTTGTCTTTAGAAACCTTGTCCGTCATCTGAGTCAAGAACAGACATCAAAAGAAAAGAAACAAAATTGCATGAACTGTGATCAAAATTTGACCACAGTTTTACTATTATTTGGCTGTAAACATTGTGTACTTTTACATCATACTTTAGTGATTACGTTCGACTACAGTTCATTGTCAGGGATAATTGGATATGAAAAGTGTATGTATATGCGATAAACAATGGTGTATGTGTGTGCTGTTAGGGGATAACTACAAGTCATTTGTTAGCCTTTCCTTAAGTAGGTATAAACTATCGGGAAATTAGATTAGATATGGAAAATTAGTGGTAGGGCCTCTGCCGTCAGTCTGTCTTTATGTGAATCAAAACGTTTCTGTAGAATCTTCGTCCTGTCAAAGTCGATCTTCTGTCCTGATTTTATGACGTGTAGTGCAATCCCTGAATTATTTCCTAGCTTCTTCAAATCTGAAAACCTTTGTGGAACTATCCATAGACATTGTATATACTGTTTTACATTTACCTGTCTGGAAATTTCTCCCACGTATACATCATCACTTATGACTTCGAATTCTTCCAATTGGGCCATATGAGTTATGTAACACTTAAAACAGTAATAATAGTATATGTCATTGTATTATTATAATTATTGTTCCTTTGGGTTCCGAGTGGAACAAAGGGATTCAAGAGCACACTTCCGCTATGTCCTATTTTTCGCGGTCCGTTTTAGCTAACTCCACGATTGAATATATGCTCTCATCCCCTTTTCCCCACATGATCACCTCCACATCACCAACAGACCATAGCGCAACTCGACGTTTCCCACTCGGGTCCCCTCGAGATTATGCCTGTTGCGCGACGTCATTCGATGGTCTCCTCAGCGTACTCCCAATTCGCCTCTATTTTCTTCGGAATATTTGTTGAGGGAAAGGTTCTTGATTCGTTTGTTCTCAGAGTTTTTTGTTGATAATTCTTTCTAGTCTGCCATTTGATCTCGAATATGGAGTAAGGAGAGTTGTTGATAGAAGTTTGCAGTAGCGTATTCGAAATGTTTTTCTTGAAGCATTCACCAAGCTTTAAACCTGTATAGAATCAGTGACTTAACTTTTGAGTTGAAAATCTGAATCTTGTTCTGTATGCTGTGGAGTGTAGAAGATTTGCAAGCTAATTTCAGAGTAATGGAGGCCTGTCTTGCCTTTCTGACTATGGCTCGCATAGCATACTGGCTCCCTAATTTTCTAGCCGGTTCCAAGCCCGGAGAATGAGGATGGGAGGGAAGTTGTTTGTGGGGCTAGAAGACCTACCCTGCAAAAACAACCAGACTGCTACAGAAACTTCAGAACACAAGACAAATGTTGTCATTATATACATCGAGGTAAAACAAAGAATGAGCAATGAGGATGTTCTATTTCAGGATTCCATCATGAACTGATGCTCACTAGTGACTGGCCCTATTCAGGTAGGTAGTCGCCTGGGTTCTAGTGGGAAGTCGTGACCAATGAGGTACAGAAGGTCGGGTGTGAGGCGAATACGTGCCGAAGACATTGGCTAGCGGTTGCGTTGTCATCAATTGGCAGAAGTTAGAATTCATTGGCTGGCCATCGGATTGGGTCCCAGTGGGTTAATGGTCAACGAGATCTCCTTGTGACCAGAAGGTCGTGGGTTCGAACGCTGCACTGTGGATGTGCACTGATGAAGAGTCCTAGCCACTAGGAAGAAACGGCTGTCCAGTACTCCGGTGCTGGTTTTCCAATGGTTCTTTAACCGATTTCAGTTCATGATGAAATCCTGTAACCAACCAATCAAATCCCTACAAACCAACACTTGGATGTTTTGTTTATCTGAATCATGGTATATGTGCTTCACTCTTCAAACAGTTTATTATTTCACGCAACGAACATGAATGCAGTCACATTTATTGTAACTGGGATTAAACTTATGTGAATATTTGTCAGGGTGGATTTAGTGATCGTGTCTTCATATCGCTGTGAATTAAAACCTTCATTTCGATATATCAATAAACAAAGTAACATAAATATATCAGAAATAAATTTCATTATCAAAAATCACAAATAAATAAAGCTGTTGAAGGGATTGTGTTTTGTAATTCTTTCGAAATTTTGCTTTTCTTCTTTTTCTTCTTCTTCTTCTTAACAAGAAATACTATAAGTTTTTAGATGTCTGGAAATGAGAACAAACAGCTGTCTAAGTAATTTCTAATTCATAAAAATAAACAATCAACTTCTGTAAGAATCCACCTGATTATACATCAAGTTTTATTAGTTATGTAAACGCCACAGTTGTTTGCGTTTTCGTGCAGTATATAGCGGGATAAAAAGAACCGCAGGCAGTTTTGTCTTTGAATTTGTAAATGAACTCTCTTAACCAGGGACACTGAAAAGAAACTAATGAAACTTAGGAAGTCAGCAATTGTGTCCTGAAGATTTCCAATGGATTTACAATTGATTTAAAATTTAGAATAACTGATATAGATTCAGATGGTGTTGTGTAGATGTTCACTTCTCTTAAGTTCATCGTAGCTAACAAGAATAGTAAATTGTGTTTATACGAGTTTGCCCATGGATTGATATCAGTTAGAGAACCATTGAAAGCCAGAACTGGAGTCCTGGATAGCTGTTTCATCCTAGTTTGGGTAGTTAAAGTTCATAGGCCATTGAATCAGGTCCCATTGACTGAATGGTATACGAGCTAGCTTGCCTTGTAATCGGAAGGCCCTGAGTTCGACTCCTGGCGGTGGGTGCTACTGCCGATGATTCCCAAACTAGTACTCCAGTTCTGGTTTCCAATGGTTCTCTAACTGATATCAATCCATGGTCAAACTCGTATAAACAAATCTAATCCTTACAAACCAATACTTGAAAAGTAAATTGTGTGTCAAAGTTTTACCTTAATCTTACAATATGTTATATAACAAAAGCATAAATAACGAACGAAAATCATTGCTCGCTTAATGTAGGTGTCTTCTTCCACTTACTGTTGAGACAGCTTTTATGGATACTCTTATTTTTCTCTATCCTAGTTAAGACTGGTGAAATTAAATGCGATATTATTATTTGGTTAAAGAAGCCCATTGGAAATTTCTAAAGGTTGATTACTGAACAAAGAATATTCTTCCCGATAACTTCATCATCATGTTCTAAAGTTCTATATCCACTTTATTGAAGGAATGATTATTATTGAAAACATTAGTGGGTTTTTTAAAAGGTAACATGGAATCATTTAGATCAGAATCCTAAAAGTTATTTGCAAATAGACTGTTAATAGGTTATAGTTCAGGGTAATATGTAAAATTTTAATACTAAATTGGACACCAATAATACAAAGTAAATGACCAGGAATGACAACGGATATATCGTAACGAATTCTCATGAATCATGTTCATATTAGATTCTATTCATATTGATTATAAACCTCAAATGAATGAATGGTCATGTTAAGGACTGGGGCGGGGAGTAAAAATTTGGGGTAGAAGGTTATGTGCATTGTAAGTGTTTCAGTGTGTAAGTTAAGCACTACGTTGAAATAGGAGAACAAAAGGTTATTTAGTGCAGTTGTAATAAGGAAGGGTGGGCGAATTTTCATGTATAGGATAGAGGACCATATTAAAAAAGGGCGATGTAATAAGGCGTTTCTGAAATTCCAGATCCCACAGTAGGCCAGGACAGTAATGATCGTTGGACCTGGTTCTTCTCACAAAAGAGCACCAATTGTTCTAGGCGAGTTGCGATAGGCTCTGTTTCTTGGAGTATTCGGTGCCTGCATGCTTTTGTCAATTTATTTGGTACTCCGTAAATAATAGGAATGGAATCTTTAATGCTAGTTTTGTGGCTTGTTTGGACCAGGTGGTCTAATATCGAACTGTTGATGGTTTTCACTAAACCTTTATTTAGCCACACTGTTAGATGTTCCCGAGGGAGCAAGAAAATCACGTTCCTAGAGCAACAGCCAATATAACTCGCTTCACAATCACAGTAGAATTGATAGATACAGTTAGAAGTGGCTAGTCTAGCTACTTCATCTTCCAATTGCCCAATCTCCATCGGTCGTTTAGAAGATATGACTTTTAGTTTACCAGCATTACAAGTTATCTGAATAGATTTTCTTAATTTGCTACTAATTATTTCACTAGAAGCGTCACTTTTGAATCGCAGTCGTATATATAAAGGCTTCTTCTTTCTTTGTCATGTGTTTCATGATGAACTTTTCTGGATAGCTATTTTCAATTAAGGTATCGTATACAATCCTTAGTTCATCTCCAATTACGTCTTCTGAGCATACGGCTCAGATCCTGTAGATGAGGGTCTTTATTACATTTTTCTTGAACTGGAAAAGAACAAAGTTATTGAAATGTAAATA